AAAGAAGAATTAACTAACCAAGAACCAAGTTAGCCTAGCTTCGGAGCGCTGATGTCTCAAAGACAAACTTTTTCTCTCTCTGACACTTTCACTGATCTCGAAACTCCCTGTAACGAGTTCAGATCATGTCTTTGGTCAAGCGTTGAAGTTCTTCTGTACTCAAAACACCCTCCTCAGCACTGCTCTGACTTTTGCAGTGATTGTAAAATTACAAAGGGTATTGCAAGCATATATGTTACAAGTAAGACACTTTCTAACGAACAGTATTTCTTCATATACGTGTAAGCTGAGGGAACGATGTCCGAACATTCGAAAAAAATAAAGATAAGGAATAGAAGCAGAATCAAAGAATTTTATTAGCTTCATTCGTCGGGGCTGTGATCAACATACAATCCTGTCATCAACTATACGGACTGCGGAAAGTAAGAAATGCCAGTATCTGCGTTTACACTTTCAACGCTCCACAGATACGACTTTACAATCAACTGTCTCTGAATTTCTAGCTTTCCGAGTTCGGATAAAACTGTGTAGGAGGACAATACAGCTTTAAATAGCTCTGGACGTCAAGACGTTAATAAAGTTGCTTTCACGAGCTCTCTGACGGATCAATGGTAGACCTTAGTAAACTCAATTCGTAAATGGGCGAAGGGTATACAATAATGAAGATCAAGATAGATGATATGCAGATGCTGTTCTGTCATGCAGAAATTTGCAAATACCCTTCATACCGGAAGTTTACTAGTGCAATGTAGTTGACTCGGCTGGCATCACTTCAGTTGGTGTTGTCTTTATAGATAGACCGAAAGTGCAACAGGTCGAATAACTCATTCATTAATTTCATAGTATGCTATGCTGTCGACTCGTGAGGACAAAGATTTCAGGTAGGTTTTCCAGTTGCTCTGGTCCCCCTCAATGGGACTTGTTCAGCTTAGTCAGGAACTGAACCCAAAAGCCTGATAACACAAAGTGAGGCTGGTGGTCAGCAGACAACGCCTGCACTGCTCTAATGCCATTTCGCGCTTAGGAATATACCAATAGCACTGTGTTTGTTGCATTATTGAAAATCCTATATCAAAGAGAGTGGATACGTTAAGAACGGATCAGGTGTAGTATTTAATGCATTGAAACCAATAAATGTATGTTCAAAATGGAAAACAAAAAAAATCGTCTCTTCCAGACACTTCTTACAAATCATACACTTCTCGCATTCCAAGTGAAGCATTTTCTGACTTTACCTGGCACCAACTTGTGAAATACCTGGCGTCCAAGATTCGTCGAACTATGTGTTATGAAAAGCGACTCGGCAAGCACAAATTAAAGGCATCAGCTTTTCCTATATGTAATGGTCTTACACATATGCTTCAACTGTATATTTCCTACCGCGATTTCTTTCCTTAACGCGATCGTTGAAAACTGTGCTGAGGCTGAATAGCAGGGATATACACACCCCACCAAGCTGATTATTGGTTTTGCTGATCGAATAATGTGGTAGCAAGCATAAAGCTATTAACGGTGATGTGCTAACAAATAACGCCCACTTCCTGCACTGCAACTTTTCACAATGCTTGAAGAAAATAACGCTTATGTTTGAAAAGCAGCATAAACATGGTTTATTAATACGCAACGCAAAAAAATATGGTTCACTGACCAACACCAACGTTTCGGTTCTTGTCTCACGAGCCTTCTTCGAGACAGGTGGTTGGCAAAATTTCTTATGCTTTCCATGTTGTAGCGGGTAGATTTGGAGCTAGAAGGCAGGCCTTTGGTCTGTATTGTTCGTCAAATAGTTTCTGGGAGATAAGGCACAATGCAATACGTGCAGAATCTGTATTCTTTGCCTCGGTTGATGTTGTGACATTACTAGTTGGTTAATTACTCTTTGACAAGCCTATGCTGCCACTATCTTTCTTTGATGATGCCGGTACACTCTGAACATCAAGGAGAGAGGGTAGAACCTTTGTCACGTAATGGTTGCAAAACAAGTCGAACTGTTTTAAAGAATT